CTGGGGCAGTGAGTTACACTTACATCAACGATGGGGAAATGTTTACGTCTTTGTTGTTCATCCTACTCTCTCCTTACTCCTTTGCTTCTACAATATCACTTAATGAAATGCTCAGGGTATGGTGTCCTTGTTTTGTTACACTCAGCCTAAATTAAATTGTTACTTGCAGACTATGTTCTAAGAAGGTGAAAACTGAAGCTCTGAGTGAACAAGCAGCCACTGGGCGAAATCTCTTTCAAGATGCTGTATGCATAAGAGAGCAGCATAATTAGTTCCCCCCCCACAGGCAAAGCTCTACCATGCATGTTTAAACTCGTTTGTTGGTCAAAAGGTGGTGGTTGGTGGCTACTGGTGTGGTTGATGAGTGGCTTCATCGATGATCACATAATCTCATTCTGGATTAATAGCTTTTTGCCTTTTTCACATGAGTGGCAAAAATAAGTACACTGACACAGCAATATAGAGCAGGATACTCAAACTCCAAAGAGCTTTCTTCTGGTTCGCGCAACACTTCCTCACAGACCTTTTGCTTTGTTAGTAAAGTGGTGTATGTAAAGATAACCTCAGTATTAAACATTGAACAGTACCAGTGAGAATAAACACCTAATCACAGTATCAATATATTATGCTTGTAACAGCCAGGAGTGTTGTACATCTTTTGTAAGTCATTTTGTTTTGACAAAAACATTGTGGTCAATGAAGAACTGCACAGGAAAAACTATTTCACATGAAGAGAAAAACACACCATGCGAAGATACTGATTGGTCAAAAAAACGATGTATGAGGCCATGATGTAACCTTATGTGAAATTTGTGCAATTTCAGCGTTTAGCTGATGGTGTTTGAACAAACCACTTGAAGAAAAAGTCTGACTGTGAACAGCTTTGTATAATATATTTAAAAAATTGTTTGCTTTTTTAATGAAATGAAATAAATTTGCATTAAAAGTGTAAATATTTACCGAATAACACTTCATGAGAACAGTCATAAACATTTATGAAGACTCCTTCATGTGTATTGACGTCACATTTTGGTCAGATCAGATCCAATGATCCCCAAAGAAAGTACCAGGCCATAAAAATCAGTAATGCAGACTAAGTGGAGTAGAGCTAAGCTGAGCAGTCCCAGTCCCAGGAAAAGGAGTAACGGTTTTAATAAAAGTGAAAAAAAAATATTTTTTTAATAAAAGTTACTGAGTGCTGAGCAAGGCTGATTTTACTTAATTTGGTTGAGTCTTTTTTTTTTTTTTCCAAATTTCCTGTCAACTTCAAACATTTTTTTTTCAAACTCAAAAACTCGGTAGACCGTCCGAAAACTACAGTGCTTAGCAAGTTTTCCGAGGGAAAACCCCCGCATTGTGTACACTGCTCTACATTTTATCAAGGAAATAAAAAAAAAAACACCTGCCAAAAGTGTCTTCCAAATACATAAATACTTACAAAGACGAAAGTTTCCCAATGTTCAAAGCTTTTAAAGGACATTCAAAGATCACGAGCCATCTCGCAACTACCCAAAATCTGGTTGGCAAGGTTACCAGAGAATATACGTCAAAGATAGTTTGCCGCTAACATGACAAAGATCGTTTAGAATACAGGTGTTACACTCTGATTACATTTCGAACCCTTAACATTTTACCCATACTTAGCATGATTTTAGCCATGCTAACTAATGAGCTTAACCACCAGCTGACTTATTTTGGTTGCTCTTTTTGTGAAAAGGTGTGTAAAGGACTAACACAACACTGTCAATAGACTGCTGTTCACTGATTGGTCATGAGGAAAGGAGAAATTAGGAGATTTTTACTGAGGTAGTGCAGAAAAAAAAGTGAACAAAACTCACGAGCAACTGTAATGATATTTAGAGCCACAGCAAAAGAATAATTTTACTATTTACAGCTCAGCTCTTTGAATTATATGAAGGCAGGTGCACTCTAATTACCAATTCAGCTGTTCAAAAGCATATACATTTTCTCCAAAACATACCGTAAAACAGCTCATGTAATAGTCCTTATAGAAAACAAATAAAACTTTGGCTTATTTACTGGGAAAAATGAACTAATAACAAAGATTTCTGAGCAGATGTTTTTCTTATGGAACTGATAATGGAGGTTCCAGTGAAGATGCTTTTCTTCTCTTTTCCACCGAAACGCCTTGATTTAGGATGGAGGTACAAATTAACCAGAAATGGGAGAAACAGAAAAACTTCACTTCTTCTTTCTTCCCTTTCTTCTCTCACACACTGATCTGAGACTTACTCTGATTTTCTAAATAAAATGTCTAAAGACATATGTCCATTTCTCTGACTGATTCAGCGTATCTCCCTTTATCAAAACAAAACATAATTTTCCTGAACAGCCACCATCAGAATCATCGAATCACACCACAAACTCATCATACAGTCAATATTCTCACTGGAGTAAAATTTTTGGATACTTCACTGAATGGAGAACAAGCTTGCTTTAACCAAAAATTCACCAGACAGACACACACCTGCAGTTTTTGTTTTTGTTATATATAATTTTGAGTGTGTTTTGGTCTAACTTTTAAATATTAAATAATTGATGTTTTGATCAAATACTAAGTATGTGAGGTGCCTTTTTTAACTCTTACTAGAGTAACTTCTTGGACAGCTGCTTTTTAAACTTCAGTAAAAATATGTTGCAGTAGTGCTACTCTCACTTGAGTACAATTTTTGGTTACTCCTGAGAATTAGAATAATATAATAATGTGTTATGATACATGTTTCCACCATAGTACTTTATGTTCTAACATGTTCGGAAAATATTGTGAGTCATTTTGTCTTTTTTTTGTCCAAGGTTGCTCGGCGTGAACAGAGTGGTGATCTACAACACCAGCTGTGGCCCGGATCTTGACCGTCTTCTGCAGAGCTACAGCCAGGAGGGCTTTGTGGAAATAGTTTCCTGGCCAATCGACAAATACATGAACGCATCGCAAGGCTGGCTCTTTTCAGAGTTTGGAGGCGATATTCACTACTTTGGCCAGCTCACCACACTCAACGAGTGCATCTACAGATCTTCCGTCTTATTTAAAGTGTTCAAAATGTCCCTTTGTTTATAGTATGACACTTTTATCAGCTGAAATAGTTAAGTATGTAAACCAGTGAAGACAGGAAGTGATGAATAAAAATGACACCTGACTTCAGTCTTCTTGTGTAACCATATTCACATTGTGCTTAAAGTTGTTTCATCAGAGAGATTCTTTAGCCCGTATTGTGTCTGCAAACTCCATAATAAATTAATAAACTATTCCTAGCCTGTTGGGAGAGCAAGTAAAGCCTGGAGGCCCGCCAGGCTTATAAAACACTGGGGCTCTCTGGTGGAATATACCAGAATGCTCTACGGTGGTTCATGTAGTTTCTTATGTCATGTACCACCTTAGTAAGTTTGAAGTTTCACTAAACCAGTCCTCAGATAAACTGGCATTTTCTGAATATCATGGCAGCACACTCCCTCTCCTGCCTCGTGCCTCCCAAATGAAGGATGACATGTTACTGATGAACATGTTGTTTTAATGGCAAAACAAATTTCTTAAATTAAAATAACCTTTAATTAACTTCATTTGTAACTGCAACAGTTTTTTTTTCCTTTAGTATAAGGTGCTTCAATTTCTCATAATAGTTGTTTGGTGTGAGGTATGTGCACACATTTCATTCATTGTAGCACCAGTGAACCACAGATCTCTTAAAGAAATCTGTGGACAGTTACCTAAATTACTTAAGCCACTTTGTGTGTACAGATGCTAAAATCAAATTGTGTTTCATAAGCTATCAAAATAGTTCTGAAAGGTGACTTAATTTACTTAACATGGAAACATGTTTTAAATCAACAAGACAACCAAATAAAGCTGATTATTTAAAAAAAAACTGATTAAAAATTAAATTGAGCTTATAGATTTCCTAGAAGCTGAAACATTTTAAATACAAACTCTGGAATAACTTCAAGAGCAGAGCAGAAAGTGGGGAAAAGGATGTACATTTTGATCAATATAAATAAGAGATGTCAAACAGGTTAGAAATGATTCTGAAAAATTGCAACATTAGAAAAAATGTAATTCAAATACATATTTTTAAACTTTGATTTCTGTTTTATTTGACCAGTTATGTCTAATGAAAACACAGCATTTAAGATTGCAACATTTACATCTGACCAACAAAAAATATTTGAGTAAAGAAACATGGGACAAATAAAAAGTATGTTTAGTACCTGCCAAAAGATGAATAGTTTACTGGGTTTATTTGGCAAAGTTAAAATGCACCCTTCTGGTTAAATGGAAGAAACAAAAAATAAGATCTAGTCCTGGGGTTTTACTGTTTGAAAACATTTAATTTGTGAAATCCTTCCTTGGAAATTAATATTTTATTCTGTGAGAGGAATAAAACCACACTATTATATGCTTAAATATTTGGACCCTGTTACCAGAGACTACCTCTAGATGTCACCAGCACCTTTATTCTCCGGACCACGAGGTGTTTTTGAGTAGGACATTTACCAAGACGTAACTAAAAATGATCTCATCCATTGAAAACAGAGTTTATTCAAGCAGACTTGCCCTTGAAACATTTTAAGCACGTCGTTGGAATATTTCTGATATGTTATAGAGAGAGCGTGGTTTCCTATGTCGGCTGCTCACTGGCCATCCTCCTCCCAGAGCATTCAGGACAAGGAAGAGGCATGGAGCGACTCTCTTACTGGCTCAGCCTCGTCTGCTTTCACTGTGCAGCTTTAACTGTTCTCAATAAAAGAAATTGAGTTCATTTTTTTTTTTTTTTTTCTAATTTGTTCCTTTTCTGGAGATTTGGACAATAGCTTTAAAAGGTCAGATTGAGCACCGGTTGTATTTTCTCAGCAGGACTAACTGCTGCGATGCATGCTCTCTCTTTCCACCATCTGGCCGGTGGGAGTGGGAGACGGCTCAGCGAAATACCTGGGTCCAGAGTGCACCTGGGTCCAGAGTGTAACCTCTCCTCTTGTCCAGGAAGAGGAAGACGAGCCGTGGCTGCAGTCTCAGCTTCGGGTAAGTTTAATAAAGCAATTTTTACATTTTAAGAATGCTTTTGTTATTTCTGTGGCGCATCATTTATTCTTGTTGTTGTTTATCCTGACCGAGTACTCATGCATAAATTTATTTTGAATTGATTTAGTTGTATAGATAATATGTGCACTTTAGAGTTAAATGCTTAAATTCATGTAAATATCCCGTCCGCCCCCTTATCGATTTTGTCCTTCATTTACTGAAGATTTTAAAAAACTGGTAATCCTGATATCTTATTAGTTACCTTCATTACAGTAAACTAATGCCCATCCTTTATTAAATGGTGACGTAAAAACTATTATATGGCCATTGCATTACCACGCTTCTCTATGTGCTGAACTGATTTTAGTTGATTGTTGTCATAAATGGTGGTGGCGGTGGTGAGGCAGACGCTGGAGACCCAGGTAAAGTGGGTAGGGAATATTTAATGAAAACAAGTCCACAAAAACAGTCAACAGAGTCCGCGGCCAGGCAGCACGGCTGAGCGGAAGCCAGGGCTCAACGCCGGTAGCAACTGGTCATACAGGCGGCTGACAAAAACAAAGGCAGACAACGACTTGCGACGACAAGGACAATCTGACAAGGACCCGACGAGGAACAAAGGACACAGGAAGGACTAAATACACTGAGGGTAATCAGGGGAACAAGACACACCTGGGAACAATCAAGGGGAAGACAGGACAATGAGGAGAACTCAGGACACACAGAAACTCGGAATTAAACACAGAAAAACACAGAACCTGACAATTGTTCACACATCTACAATCAAATCCTTGAAATTTGTTCCAACTTGTACAGTCATGCACTTCTGTGACATATCCTGACATATTGAGGAAGTAATGGCTCATTTTAAAATTCTCACTGGAGTGCTTTCAAAAGCCTTTTAAAAAAATTTCTGAGACAAAGCATTGGGAGAAGGGAACTGAAATTAGAACAGTTCAATACATCAAAACATAAATTGCATGTCCTTAAGCTAACACTTATCTCTGGATTTGAGTCTACATAATAAGGGGAGGGTCCGGAGGGCGCCCGCGGTGCCAAGGAGCACTGGGGGGCTCGGGAGGAGCACTTTCTTCTCTCACACACTGATCTCTGAAACTTACTCTGATTTTCTAAATAAAATGTCTAAAGACAAATGTGCGTTTCTCTGATTGATTGAGCGAACCATTATTTGATGTACTGAGTTTTTACCTTTTGCTATGGAAGTGTTTTCTTATACAAACAATGCCATCAGGATGTGGCCAGCCCAGGTTGTTAAAGCCTAAAAAGCAATTTTCTACCCCTATACGTTAAAGTTTTACTCTCACTTCATTGCACTGGTTAGGTTTCTGTTCTCATTGGCAAAAATCATTATAATTTCTCAGGATCAGCCTGGGTCTTTAGGTTTGTAACCAACTCTTCAGGTCTGTTGAAAGTAAAGGATAGATTGTTGTTTCCACAGCAGCGGTAGGAATAAAAATGTTGTACGATGCAAATTGGAAAAAAATGCTTTTGCAAATAGCCAACCTCTAGGCACTTTTGCATCCCATGTGGGTAGGTTGATTTGGGTCTAGTTCTACTTTCAAATGTTGCAGCTTGCACAGTCTTCAGTAAAGGTTCAAAATCCTCCCTTGAGACGTGTTGGCTGATCTTTTTGGATATTGGTTGCTTTGTTGTGTTCTCACAAGATTTTCAGGTTGCTCAATAAAGTTGACAGCCAAAGTTTTTAGAGGTTGATATGTGGAAATTTTTATTGTACTCTGACATTTTGTTTTTGTCTATAAAAACAAAATGGATGCTTTGCCCTTTTAATTCTTTTCTAAATCCATCACCATCAACAGAGTAGCTTTATTTGACAAAAAAATACAAAGAAAATCTTTCATGTCAAGTGTATTACTACAATTGCATGAAGTTGCAATTATTTGCTCCTTGTTATTTCGTAGAAATCAGTTTCTAGTTTGACATTAAGTGACTTTAAAGAGAAGCCACATTTATTGAATTTTATTGATTTGTAAAAGCAGCAAAATGACAAAGCATTGACAAGTTGGCTCACGGCCCATAACAGTAAGGAGGGGAGACAAAGGTATATATTATAAAGTAGAATCAAAACCCTAAAAGAGACAATACAAATGAGATGTAACTATGTTTAGTGTTTGTATGACTGTGTGTGAATCTGAGTGAATAATCCAGGTGTTTTTCAAACCCATTTCAGGCCCCACAGTACCTTTGTTTTAGGTTTTTGTTGTTCCAGCTCACCTGTGTCAGATTATTGCATCAGGTGCTGCTGAAGGCTGTTAATCATCCATTAATTTTAGTCAGATGTGTGGCAGCAGGGAAGAACATAAATTGTGAGATTGTGATTCCTGAGGAAATGCTGCCACAACCCATTTGCTGTCGGAACAAGTGCAAGGTCAGGCCTCCTTTCTTGTTCTTTCATCATCAACTCTGTAGTGACTTTTGTTCAGTTAGTCTCTTTGCTGATGCTGCTTCCGTCTGTTTTAAGTTGCTGTTTTTAATCCAGTTTAATTATTTTCAGCAAGCATGCTCTCTGCTATCTTTTTCCCACTTTTAAAGGGACAGTATTATGTAAAATTCTATCATGTTTTGGTGCTGTTCCCTCTTCAAAAACGTACCTGGAGTGTGGTCTTGATTCTTTCTTGCATGTTTTAGAAATCCTTCAATCTCTAACGAAAACTATTTAGCTGTGCAAAACACCTGGGTGGAATGAGCACCTCCTTCGAGGCGCAGCGCCTCCTCAGAAATACATTCCAAGTTACTAAACTTTTACAGTAGTGTTTTTCAATCTAGTTTAAAAAACAAAAAAAAAAAACACTAGGTTGAGGTTTATCCAAACCCTAGCAAATGATTTGGAGGAAGTAAAGGAACGAGGCCTACATTTGTTGTACTTGTCATACAAAGTTCAAAACACTTTATCTTCCCATCCTTACATGGCTAATTAAATTAGGTAACTTAGGAGTGGAGGACAAAAAACATGATTTGCAGCAAAGAAAAAAGGTTGTATTCTTACAGCTGCAGTAGATAACTTTTATCAATTTGTTTTGTTCGAGTTAAACACGTCTTTTTTTTTTTTGTTTGTTAAAACTGTCACTATTTGTAATATGAGACGAGCTTCTCTCCTCTGTGGTCATTGCCTTCTTCTTTAGTTTATCTCATGTTAATGATCTGCTTCCTGTTTTTATTGTATTCTCTCACTCATGCTATTCACCTGCACTACCCTCAGGTGAAACACTTCACCATGCATTTCACCTGACATGCCCTCAAAAAGCTTGTATCTTTTCATTGTTCAGGGCAGATGTTAAGAAGCAAACCGGTTGTCTGTAACGTCTGAATCCTAGAGTGTGTGTGTGAATGATCCTTTTTCTGAGAAATGTTTACCTTGTGGGATTCTCTGTTTTCCTAACCCGATTCGCATCTAGTTCTTCACTCCGTTCTTTGTTCTGTTTTTCCTATTCTTGAGTTTTGTAAATATGAATACATTTCTCAATGTTATTTTATTAATTTACCAACATTTTGTATGAACTATTAATTTTTTAATTGCTATGTATATTAGATTTGTCACCTGTCATACATGTGAACAATTTCTACTTTGTGTGTTTTAATGATGAAGAGTAATTGGGTGTAAAGGTATTGGGAATCCTAAACAATAAATGTATGCGTACACTGCACAATGGTGACAGGACAGAAGTGAGCATATGTGTATTTTGTTGCTTATACGGGAAGTTGATGTAGGGGAGTAAAATGTAGACTAAGGTAACACCGGAATAGTCCAGGACAAGGTCATGCTGGACAATAAAATTAAAAGTGCTGGTACTGCATACTGGTGCATGTGGGCCTACTTACAGCACTGGTGAAAGTAAACTTCAGTCACACGATGCTCAATGTCTGCCAAAGGAAACGGTAATGGTTCAAAGATTTTGATTGCCCATATTGTTCAGCTCTTTAAGTGCAGTGTTTCTGAACTGATTATGTGTAGAAGTGACTCTGAAGCTAATGGTTTTGTTGGCTAGCAGACGGTGTGTTCACTGTCTGCCAGCTCATTCAACGAGCTGGGGTTGAACGCTCCGAGCTCGGTGGGCAGCCGCAGACTTTTGCACTTCACTCTTTGCTTTTGTGGTGAGATTCAGCTGTCACTAACAGTGTCTATGTAGCTGTTGTCTTTTAGCACCTCAATAGTGTCCATAAGCAACTCCTCAGAACAGTCTCTCATTAAAGATTTTATACTTTATAGCATTTTTGACAAAGCAAATGATCACTTTCTTTTCCTGGGGTGCTATAGTGGAGTGAAAGCCAGCTAGCTCTGTGATGCATCTAGATGTGGTTGCATTCAGTTTTGTTGAATGGACTGGGGGCAACCTGCACGTCTGCAGGTTGTTGTCATAAACAGAAATTCTTGGAGCTTAATCTAAATGGTCTCTGAATTTATCCTGATGGCCCATTTTAAAACTAGAAATTCTGGTTTTTGTAGTCTGAGCTGACCAGCATATCTGGTTTTATAACTGAGTTTTTTGACTGCTTCAAAGTCAATGCTAGTGTGCCTAAGTAGCACAACTTCTGCTTAAACGTGTTAAACTTACTCGGCTTGAGTTTTACACCAAAGTAACTTAGTCTCTGGAGAACTTTTCCCACCTCATCCTCCAAGTGATCTCTTGGAGGATCACTTGGACGTCTAAACGTTTTGCTATAGACTGAGAGTCATCCAGATAAGGAATGCAGGTTTTATATGCAGTCCCTCATACAGGGCTGAATTGCTGCAGGGGTATTCCTGAGTTCAAAGGGGACGGAAATCTTCTCGTACAATCCTAAGGGAGTCGCTGACATCAACTCATGGTGGTACGATTGTGTCTGCTATTATCATCTTAGTTTGCCCAGCGTTTAAAAACACAGAAACAGAATGATGAGGACATGGACATACAACTAATTGAGTTTATTTACTGGTCCGCAGGAATGTTTTCTTACGTTCTGTGGATGAGGGGAAACTGATG